AAAAAAATAGGGATTTTGAAAAATTTGGGTCGGCGGGTAATGCTAAACGAAAAATCAACTTTGCATGGCCTAATACCAAACGTGAAATCAAGAATGTGAAATTAAGAATAATTGAATTTAAATCAACAAAATTGCCAAATGGTATATAAGGATACTATTTCTAGTCCAGGGGAAGTTGTCCTACTACTTTATAAAATCTGATACGACGGTGTATTCTTGATTCAATCAACATCAACTGAAATTGGGCATCTTTATTATGATGATTATATTCCAAATACTTACGAACGGCAACAGCTTTCTTGATCAAATGATAAAGATCTTCAGGAATCTCAGGTGCTTGACCTTAAAAGAAATAATCAATATTATATCATTAATATAATTGCTCAGATAAATCTTTTTTCTTAAATTAAACAATTACTTACCATAAAACTTTAAGATTCGAAGAATTTTATTTACTGTAATATTTTTAACTGGCTTAATATTATACAAGTTCCGAAGGTATACACAAAGTTGTGAGGGTGTTAGACCCTTTCTTGCAAGCTCTAGTATTTGCTCACAGATATATTGAGGCGTAATTGTCATCTATAGCGGCATATGATGGTAAGAAATAGTGTTTCGTTAACTTCCTAGAAATATGAATGGTCTGACTTTACCTTAATTGTTTCCAAATTATTGTGTTTTTTTAGATCCTTTTCTTTTTTTTTTTTCAGCTTACTGTTTTTTTTTTTTTTTTTAAAAATTTATGATAATGGAGGGCATTACGAACAATGAAGATACAAGGGCCGATAGAATTTCAAATAATTCTGTTTCAACTAGTGAATCAGAACCTGTACAATCTGTGCAAACTGAATCCATGAACTCATCACGTTGTGGAGAATGACCCCAAGAAGATATTTGGAATGAGTATGATACAGTAACTAATGGAAGGGGAAATCATAAAGGGGCACGTTGTAGATACTGTAATACATCATGGTCTCGAGGAAGAGTTCAAGAAATGAAAGCCTAACTAGTATTAAAATGTAAAGGAAAAGTGCCCAAAGAAATTCGACTTAAACTACTCCGAGAAATTCAAAATGATGATAAGCATGGAAAATCCACTGTAAAAAACAGAAAATCAAATAATTCTATATTACCTTTTGATGCTTATTATGATCCAAAAGAAAATATCGACAAAGCTAAAGAAACTAGAGCAAACAGAAAAGATTAAATCTAGAAAAAACTTGAGTAAAATTATAAAGTAAACAAAACTGATTATAAAGAAAAGTAATAAGAGCCAAAATTAAACCAAAGATAAAGTTAAAAAATAATTAAAAAAATAAAAAAAAAAAGAAATGAAAAGTTTTTGGTTTGATATAGTTAACTATTTCATTAAAAATAAACAAAACTATATTAGTATAGTTTTACTAGCTAACTTGGTGCAGCCCTCTAGTGTAGACAAAAACCTCAGCTAGTATAGCAGACTACTCTTAAGCACTTTTCAGATAGCTAAAAGATATTAAATCTATAGTTTAGATAGTTTAATATATATATATAAAGAATTACTTCATATTGTCTGTAGCAATTATCACAGCAATATTATTGTATAATATAATAAAATATATTAACTTTTAGAAA